AGCCCCCCAGGACCGCCAAGAGACTCCCAAGACGTCCCAAGAGGCCACCAAGAAGCGCCCAAAAGATACCACAAGAGGCTCCGTGAGGCATCCACGAGACCTCCAGCCCTTTTGCGTGCCCTCCTCCTACTCCTTCTCTTCCTACTCCTCCTCCTCTTCCTGCTCCTGCTCCTGCTCCTGCTCCTGCTCCTCCTCCTCCTCCTCCTCCTCCTCCTCCTCCTCCTCCTCTTCCTCCTCCTCATCCTCATCCTATTAATCCTCCTTCTCCCCACTCCCTCATCCATCCCTCCAGCCTCATCCTTCTCCTCCTACCTCCTTCGCACGGTTCGGCCGTCCCCCTCTTTGCTCCCACACTTCTCTGATCACCTCAACTCGCCTGGACATCGTATCTGGATGGGCTGGTGGGGATACGCGAGGCGCCTGGACTTAACAAATATGATTGGGCTCCCCGTGCGCTGTCGCATGGATATTCGGAGCCATGAGCGCTCGAAAACGGAGCAAGAGGGCCCCATGAGGTCGCCAAGTCGGTCCAAGAGTACCCCGAATGGCCGAACGATCGGTCCCAACCGCCCAAAATGGCCCCAACATGGCCCAAGAAGCCTTCGAGGCTCTCCAAGAGAGCCCCCAGAGCCTTCCCAAGAGGCTGCAATCATTGAATTTCCTGATTGCCTTTGTTTGATGTGCTTGGGCTTCTCGGGTTCTCCAATTTCGAGCTTCCAAGCTCCAAGACGGCTCAAGAGGCCCCCAAGACCAACCCAAGAGGCCCCCAACAGGGCCCCAAGACGGCCCCCAGAAGGCTCCCAAAGGCCCCAACAGGGCCCCCAAGAGGTTTCAAAACTGCCCCCACGAGGCCCCTGAGAGGCCTCCCGCGACATCCCAACGAACATCCTGGATGCCTATGACCCACAACCCAGGCACGGTGGCGGAATGGGCAGACGGCCATTCGATAGGAGAGGTGAGCATTACTGCGACGAACGCGCGAGCTACAAACGTAGCGTGTTTGAAAGGGTGACGTCTGGTCGTCGAAAGGTGCTGAAGACTAGACAGCATTGCTAAGCTATAGAGACTTGTGCGCCTTCTCCGGGTATCCGAACGCCACACCGTCCAACTGAATCAATTCGTTCTTCGGCAAGGGCCTTGCACCAAGGCTGACATTACACGAATCCTCGCTCTATATGCTTTGCATCAGACATATCTCTCATGCAGTATGTTCACCTCCGCATGCTCCATACAGTGTATACCTTCCTCTATACCCAACGCTCTCCAAACAGTATTCTGACTTACGCGCGCATGTCCATACATATATATATATATATATATATATATATCAACATAGAGAGGGAGAGAGACGCTGCAAAAGCATATACGTTAAGTTGTGCATTCTCCAACGTGCCTGCCCTGGCAGGTGTGCTTCACGTCCATCGCCCCAGGCGGACCCCAACGCAAACTTGAAATCACCAAGTCCCAGCGCTTTTCGGCTTGATTGGCACAGGCAGGACTACTGCATCTACAGTGTCGCTGGTGGAAACGGTGGAACCCATACAAGTGTGGCCCATGAAGGCCCCCCAAGACCTCACAAGCATTTGGAACGGCACAAAACGCCATCAACAAAACTTTCTCCTCCTCCTCCTCCCCCATCCGTGTTCTCCTCCTCGTGGCCTTTGGCGGCGGCGCCCGTCCTGTGCAGCAGGCTTGCGAATGCTGCCAGCCTTGCGGTGGACATGGCAAAACCAAAGTCCGAGGCCCCACGACTGGGACATCGACTTTCTAGGTTCGTGCTCGTGGTGTTCACGACTTGTCGTGCAGAAGTGCTGGAGGACGCGCTGAGGAGATTGCCTTCTCTTGCTACCCTGTCGATGCGGCGGGCGGGCGAGCACGGCTGTTGTGGTGTCGCGGCGTCGAGGCGGGCGGGCGCGCGTTGCCTTCGAAATGTGGTGTCGGGGTGTCGTGGCGTCGTGGTCTCACAGTGACGCGGTTTCGTCGTGTCGTGTTGAGGGGGTGCAGTGGTCGGGTGTTCCCCACAGTCGGACCTGGGCCAGAAGAGCATCCCTGAAGAACGTGAGACCCTCCGCCAGCCAAAACAGCCAGAGCATCCAAGGGTACCCTCCCTAGGACGCACCAGAACATCCAACAAGCACAGAAAAAACACTGGGGTACCCTCCCCGAGCCGACCTCGATCTTATACCTCGGTCCAACTGTAAGAGGGGGGGCGGGGTAGAAAGAAACATGCACCCTTCGTGCACCTGTTGGGCCCGCAGCAGCAGTCTAGGTGCCATGTCGGGCCCCTTTAGGGCCAAAGTCCTGCACTCCGCGATTTCCCAAGCCTTCTTGCCGTCCCCCGTTGCCGTCCACCTGAACTGGTGTCGGGGTTTCGAGGGGCCATGGTGCTGGTGTCGTAGTGGTGCGGTGTCGCGTGTCGTGAAGAGGCGGAGCTCGTCACGCCACGGTGTAGAGATGCCACAATATGAATGCACTGTCAAGTAAATGGGTGACTTGGATCACGTGAAGAAACAGTTGAATGCGGATGAGTTGTAAGTGAATTTGGAATATTGTTCAATGCATTGTGAATCACATGTCTCTCTGCTGTGGAACCAGACGCTGGGACAAGCGGCGACGGGTGGCACCGCCCTCAAAAGCCGCCATTCGCCCCGAGCGGCGGCGACGGCGACGGCGACGGCGACGGCGGAGACGGGCGGCACCGCCCGTAAAAGCCGCCATTCACCCCGAGATGGTTAAGCCAAGTAAGATTCCCAAAGTGCAAGCACTGTTTGGGGAAAAACAGCTCGCCAGGATCTGCGGGTGCATACCGCCATCTGCTTTCGCATGCATTCTCCTCTCAAGGCAGCTTCTTCCTCCTGCGTGCAGCCCCCTTTGCGGGGGGCACCTCGCTGCGCAAGCTTCCTACATTGTCTGGTATGAAATCTCCAGTCCCCAGGTCTCCCGCCTGTCCCCTGTCTCTCCGGTCTCCTGTCTTCGAAGATCTCCCTCTCTCTCTCTTTCTCTCGTTCTCTCTTTCTCTCTCTCTCTCTCTCTCTCTTCCTCTCCCTCTCTCTCTCTCTCCCATCCGTAGCAAGCTTGGCGAAATCTGCTTCATTCCAAAAGCAATCACGTGGATTACTCTGTTCCGAGGCTTGATCAAAAGAATTGTCGTGCAAGGGTAGGCTGTGCGCTGCCCATCAAGAGGCATGTCGCCTCCTTCGCGTGCAGAGGCAGCGGTCCGCTGGCACTGCGGGTGGTGCTCGCAGCCCCGGAGGGGGAGAGGCGGGCCTCGGGGGTGTGCGCCGCAGCTCCCGTGCAGTGTCGGGGCGCTGGAGAAGGACCCGCTGGCGCCTCGATGCTCTGCATCCCTGCACATCTCTCTCTCTCGCTCTCTCTCTCTCTCTCTCTCTGTCTCTCTCACTCTGTCTCTCTCTCTCTCTCAATCTCCCTCCCTCTCTCTCCCTCTCTCTCTCTCTCTCTCTGTATTCTCCTGTCTCCAGCCTTCCGGAGGCCAAGCTCGGCCCTCCAGGGGGGCTCCTCCTCCACGCTCTCCTCTCCCCCCTCCCGCCTCCCCTCCTCAACCCGTCGCCACGCCCTCTAACCTCCCTTCTTGTCCCCGAGTCGCCCAGGCGCGGGGAAGCGTATCGACAGGGAGCTGGCGTCTGAGAAGGTGATGGCTGGGTCCTGCGCGAGCTGGGGATAGAGCCAGCGAGCCACGCATATGCCAGGCAGCAACTGGCAATAGCTTTCAACACAAGCATGACTTGGATGCACTAGCAAACAACAGAAACAATGCTCTGGCGTGTGCTTCGGTTCTGTCACATTACACCTCAAACCAATCACACGACAAACACTCTTACCTCTGCCGTGCCTGTCCTGGTGTTGGCATGTGTGGACCGCCGCTGAGAGACAGCAGCTTTGTGTCGAAGTTTGACTGAGCGGAAGAGAATCAGTGTTTCGTGCGGGCGGCATCTGACCAGGCCCAAACTCCGGTCAATTCTAGACTCTTCGCGTATCCACTTGCACCAGACGGGCTTGATCCTGGCGGGACAAATTTCTCTTTGTACTGGATAAGCCGTCTCAGAAGAGGGCAAGCAAGTACAGGAAGGGGGAGGACCGCAACACAGTTGTAGCGACCTGTGAAAATGTGTGTACCAAGGTACAGATATATCGGTGCACGCACTGTGTACTCAGGAGCTTCTTCGCCCACTCTACTGTTCAGCCCAACTCGAGCACGGGGTCCGCGAGGAAGGCAGCAGCACAACTGAGCAACAGGCACGCGACCACGAGTGCGCGCGCGCACACGCGCACGCGCACACGCGCCCGCGCACCCCCCACACACACACACACACACACACACACACACACACACACATACACACACACACACACACACAAAAACACACACTCACACAGACACACACACACACAGACACGCACACCACACACACACACACACACACACCACACACACACACACACACGCACGCACGCACGCACGCACGCACGCACGCACGCACGCACACGCACACGCACACGCACACGCACGCGCACGCGCACGCGCACGCGCACACACACACACACACAGGCGCACACGCAGAGGAGGGCCCCGAAGACTCGCCCCCGGGGATCTCGGAGGCGCTCGGCCCCTGTATGTCACTCCCAGCAGGTCGCGCCCTCCGTCCTCCTCCCACCTCCCCGTGCCCACGCCCCCCCCCCACCCCGCGCGCACGCCCTCGACGGAGGGGGGAGTGGCGGAGAGCGGGGCCGTGGAGCGAACGTCCTCGGGCACCTCGGGCCTGCGGCGAGGAGCAGGACGAGGAGGAGGAGGGAGGAGGCAGGAAGAGGAGTAGAGGGGTAGGAGGAGCAGAGCAGGAGGAGGAGCAGAGGAAAAGGGAAGAAGGGGAGCAGGAGGAGGAGCAGAGGCGGGAAGGGAGGAAAAGGAGTAAAGGAGGAACGGGACGAGCAAGCAGGGAGGCGGCACGTGGAAAGGGATAAATGAGGGAGTGTCGACGGGGAGCGGTCCTCGATCTTCTCCATGTTGTCGAGTATCTTCTGCTTGCTCATCTTCTGTGCAACTATCTTGGGCCGGTTGTCGATCTTGTTGATAAACTCCATGATGTGCGCGATCTCCTTGCCAGAACAGTCCCTCCCCAAACGACCTGTGACCCGACTAGCCCCAGTGTTCGCACAATGTCGCACCTCATGTGGGACGGCTCGATCGACCATGGCACACTACAGCACTGTCAAAGCCAATGCTGACCCTGGAAGTAGTTCTTTCACGACGCAACGCAACGCGGAGGATGGAACGGATCACCCCGCACGGCGTCAGGAGATACTCGTCGAAGGCTGTTCTACAGCAAGCATCATCAATCAGGCCCGCACATTGACTTACGTGGGCACAGTTTCGACTCCAAAGAGGCGGGAGAGAAGGACAGCAACAACCGAACACTCGAACATTAGAATCCACAAACACCACCCTCGGCGGCATGTTTGAAAACCAACGCCCGGACAACGAGATGCCATCGGACTGTCTTGCATAGAAAAAGGGGGAGGGGATGAAGGATGGGAAGAAAGAGAACAGGAGGGGGACATCTGCAGGCTCCCGCCGAGCGTTCTGAGGCAGGAATTCATTCTGCCACTTAAAATCGTCCAGCTGGCGAGCAGGTACAGAGTTACAATGCGATGCAGTGGAGGAAGGAATAGAGACGACAATGAAGAGCAAACGGACTGAACTGGATCGCGCTGCACAAGTGGCGTAGAAAAGTAACGTGATGCAGAAACATTGCTGAAACACACTGCAGCATACGCACTGAACAACCGTCGCGCACAAGACTGCATGGATACATTGTATACACCTGGCGAGCACCCCAATGCACAAACATGTGCCCCCATCCCACTTCGCTGGTGACTCCTTCTGTTGCACATCATACGCCCGCTCTTGGGCCAAACGTGTCTGTCGCACCGTCTCCACATACGTCTCGTAGTTGCCTTTGTAATATGTCAACTTTCTCCTGCGACGGATGCGGCATGCCAACATGCATTGATTTGATGGTGTCCTTGCAACCGTACGACGTCGCATTCTGGTCACACGTTGTAACCCCACCAACCCGCCAGGCGAAGGTGGTATACCGAGCTGTTTCCTTCACTCTTCCAAAAGCCCCTCCTTCCCCTGCTCGGGGGAAGGGTTTATCACTGCTCCTGTTTCATATACGCCCCCTTCCCCACCCGACCAGCGACATACCCGGGACACTGCACCCCCCCTCCAATCCCTGTCAACAATCAAATGCGCAGTGGACGTTGCGGCAACCTCTGGATCTTGCGCAGGGCGCCCCGTGAGCACTTCGCCTTGGGTGTTTGTGTTGTTGCAAGGGCGGCGGGGGAGGCCCTCGTATTGTCCTGTCTGGGCAGGCCTACCACCCGTGTCAAACCAAAATGTACCATACACTTTTCGGCAAAACAGGAGAAGGAGGAGGAGGAGGAGGAGGAGAAGGAGGAGGAGGAGGAGGAGAAGGAGAAGGAGGAGGAGGAGGGAGGAGGAGGAGGAGGAGGAGGACCGACCGCGGGCGCACCATGACCACTTTGCATTGGCTTATGCCAGGGACGGCGTCGTGCCCTCAAGGGGTCCGCCCTGCGCAGACCCACCATCCCTGTCAACACACGGAGCAAAAGACTCTGCGTGGCGAAAAACTGGGTCATGCACGGTCGCTCCGCGATGATTTTGCTTCGGTGTTTGACAGAAGGGGCGGCGGGGGGAGGCTCATATTGCCTGCCCTGTGCAGTCTCACGATCCCTGGCAAGAACCATACAAAGTGCACTGCACGGCAACATCTGGATCATGCGCGGGCGCCGCGCGATCACTTTGCTGACAGGGGCGAGGGACGGTGGGAGGGTCGACATATTGACCATTGTGGCGTACCTGGTGCGCGTGGCGCAGCTGGCACGTGAGGCGCACCTCGCGGGCGTCGCGCACCTGGCTGGCGCCTGCATTGATCTGCATTGGTTCCCGATGCTAATCGATGGCGGCATCTGCCCATGCTGAGACTCGGGTACTTCTATGTGCTGGGAGAGACGGTGAAAATCAGCGAGATTGCGTGTTGCTTGTGGGTAGCTTGACCCCTCCCCGATACCCCCTCACCTGGGTATGGACGGAGGGGACCCCGAGGGGTTAGAGCGTCCAATATGGCCCAAGAAAGAACGCAAACCACAGTGGGCGCTGAAAGAGCCGCCGAAAGGGGGGACCCGAATTGGGCCATTCCTCGTTTGTTGGCTATGGGATCCAAGACCGTCCTAAGAGAGCTCCCAGAGCCCCCCCCCCCAGAGCGCCCCGAGAGGGCAGAGCCCCAAGAGGGCCACAAGTGCACCCCCAAGATGCGCCCCACGGGGATGCCATGAGGGCCCCAAGATGGCTCCAAGAATCCTCCAAGAACCTCTCACAACCAAATATCCGCACAAACCGCCTCCTTTATCATCCTTGTCCTCGTCCGCGCCTTCCGTACTTCCTTCCTGCCTCATCAGTCCCCCTCCTCCTCCTCATCATCCTCTTGCCTCCGTACCCCTCCTCCTCTTCCTCCCACATGGTCCTCCTTCTGCTCCATCCCTCCTCCTCTGGTCAAGTATAGCGGCCATCCCGCCCCAAGAGGGTCCCATGCAAACTTCTACAGGGCCCCAAAAGAGCCCAAATAAAGCCGCCTCAGCATGGGAACATAGGTTAATTCATTCAACATTGGTCCCCCCGTTTCTGCGCTCCAGACACGCTTCCAAGGCGGCTGTTGTACTGCATGCTTCTACACGTCCTTGATTCGGGCAACTCCCCTGGCAATCGTTTCTGTATGGGCTGATGGGGATACGCGAAGCGCCAAGAACTGCTTTTGGTGAGTGCTGAGCCACTTCACTTTACCATGCAAGGTTACTGTAAAATAGCACACAGCACAAACACATTGCATGTGATGCACTTCCATCGCCGAGCAGAAGTCCTTGCTTCTATGATGAGCATGTGGCGGATGCAGGCGTCAGCCGAAACCATGTCCAACGATATGCAAACCACACGAGCGTAGTTCCACGGGGGGTCTTCAACTGGCCATTATCATGCATTCAACACTTCAAAAATGACAACTACGTCTGAAGACCTCCTGCCGAGCAGATGGACAAGCGAGCATGGCCCAGTCCTGCATAACATATCGGTGTGCCGCGCATTTCTCGCTCTCGAAAGCTGAAGTCATGATGGAACGCACCAATGCGTGCGACGACATATCGAGGTCAAGGCTCAGGCTACGCCAATAAGACGAAGGTGGTTTGATACTACGGTGGCGACATCTTCTACGTCTTTACTGGTGATGGTGGCTAATACAAGCGTGTTCGAGAATGGCGACAAGCAAGGTGCATCCTCACACGCTGAAGAGATAGAACGTTACTATTACGCTACCAGCAACTCGAATCCGAGCCAGCTTCAAGGCCGTCCCAGCCCGGTCCCGTTCAAGAAAACGACGTCGGTGACGACGCTGTTCAAGAAGCCCCGGTCGTGCGAAACCACGAGGCACACGTTCTTGAACGACTTCAGGTACTCCTTGCGATATGTGTCTTCCCTCGCCCTCGATTCATCTCACTTGCTCCGCGCCTCCCCGTCGTTTCCTTAATGAATCCCACAGATTGGCCTACATTATTCGGCCTGACCTAAGGATCGATAAATCAGGAACGAAGTCCCTTTGTTCCAAGTAAGTCAAGGAAGTCCGAAGGAACACCAGGGAGCTCGCCGCTAAAAAGGTAGCGGAACCCATGCAAACCAAAGGAACGACCGAACCCCTTTTGAAAAGAAACTGTTCCTTATTCAGGCCGAATCCTGTACTGCGCGTCAGTGTCTCAACAGATCCACGGATCAACCAGTGAACGCCAGTCCCACATTCGCCTGCGCCCGCCTCCAATTCACAGACGCCGCTGCCATTCCCCCATCCGCATCCACCAATCATGGTTCGTTCGTGGAGGTCATAATCTGCAGATCCATGCGTGCTCCCACTGCAAACAGTGAAGCGCATATCAACAATATGGTACCTATAATGATCCCACCGGCCCCCTGGGCGTAGGTGGTCTAACCGTCTGATTTTTCTCTTCAAAAAACCCTCTTCCCCTTCGGGGAAGGGTTTACCCCTCCCCCTACCCTTCCCCCTGGACTTTTTTTGGGGGGGTCGCGGGTGGTTGGAGGGCCCGTTTTCGCTCAAGATGGCTCCAAGAGGGCCTCCGATGCTCCAAGATGGCCACCAAGATGCCTCAAGATAGCCGACGCTGGTCCAAGCCAGCTTCCGACATGCCTCCAAAATGGCCCCAAGAGCCACAACACGGTGTCCAGTGCTCTCGGAGATCCTTCTGGACCCCTCCCAAAGCCCAAATCCTTCAAAAACCTACGGAAAAAGGATGAGGTTTGCCTTCTCGCCGTGTCGCTTCCGATGCGCTGTGGGGGCCTCAAGATGGCCCCAAGATTGCCCAACAAGGCCCCAAAAGGGGCCCTAGATGCCCCCTACGACGGCCCCAAGAACACCCAACAACGCCCAAGAGCGCCCCAAGAGGGCTCCAAAAGCGCCCCAAGAGGCGGTGTTCAGGGCCCCAGAAGGGGGGGGGGGGGGGGAAGACCCAGATCGGGAGCCCCCCTCCTTTGATCGATAGCCTCGGAGATGGCCCCAAGAGGCGCCCCAGGGCTCCCAGGAGAGCTCCAATACAACTCATCTTGGGCCCCAGGAGAGTCCCAAGAGGACCCCAAAACGGCCCAGAGGGGCCCCCGAGGGGCTTCAGCGAGCACAAGATGACCTCCGACGTGGCTCAGATAGCCCAAACTGGCTCAAGATGGCCCCCAAGATGCTCCAAATGGCCCCAAGACCGTTTCAAGACCGCTCCTAGAGAGCCCCAAGAAGCGGTTCGCGGGCTCCCGAGGGGAAGCTGAGTGGGGACCCCCCCATCATCCTGTAACCGATGGCCTCCAAGATGATCCCAAAAAGCCTTCCAGGGTCACCAAGAGGGTTCCAAGACAGCCCCCAAAACTCCCAGAGAGCACCAGCAGCAGCAGTAGCAGCCGCAAACATACCTCTAGATGGTTCCATGAATCCTTGTCCGCGTCGTCCTCATCCTAGTCTTGGTCCTCCTCGTCCTCGCCCTCATCCGCGTCCTCGTTTTCCTCGCCCTCATCGTCCTCATCGCGCTCCTTTTCCTCATCATCCTCTCCCCCCCCCGCCCCCGCGCGGCCCCCAGGGATGGCCCGAAGAGGCCTTCCAAGGCCACCCCCTTACTCCCAGAGATCTCTCGGTTCACCCTGGTGGCTCGCTTTCTTTCCCTAGATGAGTCTCTTCGCCCCTTTTCCCCAGTTTTTGAGTGGGCTGGTGGGGGCACTTTGTTGTTCGCAACCGCCAGCGGACAGCCGCGCGGCGTCATAAGTCGAAGTCTGGTGTGGGTGCGTTTTTGGTCCGCGGGCTCGCGAAGCAAGTCGAAAGCCGTCCGAACACTAGCAGGGCCGCAACCAGGCAGCAAGAAAAGAGAGGGGCAAGCCAAGCGAGCGCGCGGGCAGCCCAGAGCCACACATGCCGAAGTCATTGCACCGAAGATGACGGCAGCGTAGCGAGACCCCACGGAACCCAAACGGTTACCAGTGGAGGCTGACACCAAGCAGGAGCAGGCCAGGGGCCACCTGACCGCCCATCCCCAGCGTGGTCCTTGCATGGAATTTGAAGCGAGACCTCACGGAACCTTTCTGGTCACCAGTGGAGGCCGACACCAGCCAGGAGCAGGTCAGGGGCCACCTGACCGCCCGTTCCCAGTGTGAACCTTGCATGGAATTCAGGCTGTCATAGCACCATCAGACAGCGGTATTGGCGGCACCCCAGCCGCGCGGGATAAACCCGGTGAAACGAGGGGAGGAGGGGAAGTGCACGCCTGGCGCGGTAGGCAACCCGCTGCGGCAGCTAACCGCTGCGGCAATAGGAAGCAGGAGACACGAGCATCGGAGCCCACTGAACCTTTTCTGCTATCAGCAGGGGGGACGGGCGCCAGCCTAAGGCAGCCAGCAGGCACCATATTGCCAGCGACGTGCTGCACGACCCCGTTGTGCTGAAGCCCGTGGTACTCAACCCCGTTGTGCTCGTCAACGTCGCGCTGCTAGTCCCACTGGTGCTTGTTGCCGAGCTGCTTGTCTCGGTGGTGTGAGCCAGCGCCGTGCTGCCCGAGCCCGCGGTGCTCGACCCAGGTGTGCGTCGGCAGCTGCTAGTCCCACTGGCGCTCGCAGCCGTGCTGCGTGACTCAGTTGTGCTCGTCAACGACGCGCTGCTCGACCTCGTTGTGCTTGAGCCCGTGGTGCTAGACCCGTGGTGCTAGCCGGCGTCGCGCTGCGCGTCTGGCTGGTGCACGCTTCCGCGCTGCTAGTCTCAGTTGTGCACGTCCGACGTGATACTCGACCCCATTGTGCTGGAGCCAGTGGTGCTCGTCGAAGTCGCGTTACTGCCCACTGGCGCATGTTGTCGAGCTGCTTGCTGGACGGCGCAGGTCAGCGGCATGCTGCTCGACCCCGTTGTGCTGGAGCCCGTGGTGCACGACCCTGTTGTGCTCGTCCGGGTCGTGCTGCTCGACTCACTGGTGCTTGTCGCCGAGCTGCTTGTCGCAGTTGTGCGCGTCGGCGACGTGCTGCTCGATCCCTTAGTGCAAGACCCGTGGTGTCGCCGACGTGCTGCGAGCCCCGCTGGCCCCCGTTGTCATGCTGCTTGCCACGGAGGTGCTGGTCAGCGACGTGGATCCCGCGGAACTGCACCCAATTGTGCTCGACATCGTTGCGCTGCACAACTCGCTGGTGTTCGTTGCCGTGCTGCTTGTCACGGCGGTGCTGGCCAGCGACATGTTGTCCGACTCTGTAGTGCTAGACCCCGTGGTGCCCGACTCCGTTGTGCACGACACCGGCGTGCTGCTGGTGTCCTGGTGCACGTCGTCGCGCCGCATGTTTCGGTAGTGCTAATCGGCAAAGTGCTGCTCGACCGCGTCATGTTGGAACGCGTGCTGCACGACGCCGTTGGCCTGGTCAACGCGCGTTGCTCGCCCCCCGAGTGCTCGTTGCCGAGCTGCATGTCTCAGTGGTGATGGTCAGCGACTCGCTGCAGGACTCTGTCGTGCTACAGCTGTGCTCGTCAGGGTCGTGCTGCTGGTCTCTGTGGCGCTCGTCGTCCGGCAGCTCGTCTCGGCGGTGCACGTCGGTGACGTGCTGCTCGGCTCTGTGGTGCCCGGTCTCGCGGTGCTTGCCACTGTCGCGCTGCTCCACGCACCAGCGCTCGTCGCCGCGCTGCTTGTCTCAGTTGTGCTAGTCAACGACGCGATGCTGGACTCTGTTCTGCTGGAGCCTGTAGTGCTAGACTCCGTTGTGTAGGTCCTCGTCGCGCTGCTCGACTCACTGGTGCTCATCGTCGAGCTGCTGGTCTCAGCTGCGCTGGTCGGCGACGCGCTACTGGATTCAGTAACCGGCGCCGGCGGCGATGGCGAAGGGGACAAGGGACAAGGGAGTCGGTCGCACACCGTGCTGCTCGACGAGGCGCTGCTGGTGCCCGTAATGCTGGACAAGGTAATGCTGCTCGACTCGGTCGCGCTGCTCACCGTGGTGCTGCTCGGCGTAGTGCTGCTCGTCATTGATGGGCTGCTCGATTCCGTGGTACACGTCAGACTGGTGCTTGTGCTGCTCGACTCGCTCGTGCTGGTCAAACTGGCGCTGCTAGAGGTTGTGGTACTTGCTTCGGTCGTGCTCGTTAGTGAGGTGATACTCGATTCCGCTGAGCTGGTCAGCGATGTGCAGCTTGATCCTGTCGTTGTAGTCAGCGATGCAGTGTTCGATTCTGTAGTGCTGCACAGCGTGGTGCTGCTTGATTCTGTGGTGGTGCTGAGCGTCGTGCTGCTTAATTCCGCGGTGCTCGTGTCGGTCGTGCTGGACAGGGAGGTACTGTTCGATCCTGCGGTGCTCGAATGAGTAGTGCTGGTCAGCGCGGTACTGCTTGACTCTGTGGTACTGGACCCCGTGGTGCTTGACTCAGTAGCGCTTGTCAGCAAAGTGCTGCTCGACCCCGCGATGCCCGACTCAGCCGTGCTGATCAGCGACTTGCTGCTCGACTCTGTGGTACTTGAGTCAGTCGTGCTGGCAGCGAAGTACTGCACGACTCCGTAGTGCACGACTCGGACGTCCTGGGCAGCGACGTACTGCTCGACCCCGTGGTGCACGACGCTGTCGTGCTGGTCAACGACGTGCTGCTTGACTCTGTGGTACTTAAGCTGGTCGTGCTGAACAACGAGGTACTGCTCGACTCTGCGGCACTGGAGCCAGTCGTACTGGTCTCGGTCGTGCTGGTCAGCAGGGCGCTGCTCGACTCAATGGTACGTGGACCGATCGCACTGGTCCGGGTCGTGTTGGTCGACGACGCGCTGCTTGACTCTGTGGTACTTGAGCCAGCCGTGCTGATCAGCGAGGTGCTGCACGACTCTGTGGTTCTGGAGCCAGTCGACTGGTCTCGGACGTGCTGGTCAGCGAAGTACTGCTCGACTGTGATACTTGAGCCAAAT